CTTATAATAAGGTGTAGGCATATACATTTGTTTTAAATTGAGTTTTGTGTAGATAGTTGGCTTTGACATTTGCACATACCACTAATTTTTATTTGGCTACCAGAAAATATAACTTTAACAATAAGATTTAGAATTCTATATAGCCTCATTTCCATAGTGTGCAAGGTTTATTTATTTATTTATTAGAATATTAAGGAAAACAAATAATTTATTTAGTGGTCAAACAAACAAGTAATAAATTACTCAATAATATTATCATTATTTAATATAGTTTATAAAAAAGAAAATATTTTTTAATATTTTATTATTTATTTTAACAATAAATTTATTATTATTATTATTATTACTTTAAAATTTAAATATATCCCAACAACCACAAAAGCGGACCGGTAAATTCTAGCATCTCAAAATTATTACTCACTTAAACAATACAAATGAAAAATGACAACTGACAATAAGAAGGAGCGAGTCTGCCCTTTCCACACTATCAATTGAGTAGTAATATAAGAATACATTTTTTATATTATTTTTTATATAATTTTTATATATTATTAAATAAATATATATTTGCATCTGGACCTAGAAGTCCACTGGTATTAATCAGCTTGTTAAGTGCATTCCCCCCTCCCATGGACGGATTTCGAACTCGTCCTGTGTCAAAATGTTTAAAAAAATATATATATATTTAATATAATAATTTTTAAATAAATAAAAATAATAATTATTTAAATAATATATAAAATTATATTAAAAAATTATTTCAAAATCATTTTCCTTTCCATTTCCATCCCCCAACTTGCAGAGTCTTGCCCCCAACCTCTTAAACGACATCGTCCAAAAATGATGGATAAGCGACGAGAAAATCCAAACCTTGTGAAGGGTATTTTCGGAACTCAACAATCCCGCCACATTAAACCCCCGTAATTTCCTACGCGTTTCCTGTGTGCAATCGCTGTGGACGCGATCACAGCCGTTCATCAACCAAATTCCCAATCTCGAAACCCTAGCTTCACACACAAAATCCCGCCCGCCTCTGTCACCCCCCAATCAAATTCATACAAAATCTATTTCTTTTTATCTGTATTTTTCCCAACTCCATCCAGACCCACTCAAAGCTTCTTCCTTTTGGATATGAAGAGAGTGACGGCGTCGCCGTTGCTGTCGCCGTCTTCGGATCTGGCGTCCTATGATAGCTGGGAGGAGGTAAATATTTCGGTCGATGAAGGCAGGAAGAAGGTTCATTATTATTTGAAGAGGAAGGACGGAGGCTTAGATCTGGCGGTGGTAGGCAAAGAGAAGAGCTTGAGACATATGAGGTATCGCCTCGCCATTAGAAACCGCCCCGTTCTCGCCTCTGCGGCGTCCTTCGGGAAGCTCAAGTCGCGCAGGGAGGTCATTGATTGGCTCAATTCAGTTATTTCAGGTAAATGCTGTGTTCGTCAATTTTCAATTTTTGGAGTTTTGAGGATTTTAGGGATTCGGTGGTTTGTCCATTAGGATTTTGATAGATCTGAACTCTTATACTGCCGAATTCTTTATCTTTTCCCGTCAGCTATTCATTTCCTATGCAAGTATTCTGCTCGCTTTATACAGTTTGTTGAATTCCTTCCCTTGATTTTATTCAATTTCAATTCGGTGAAAGGATCTGGCAAATCTTCTTGTTATCCTTAGCCAATCCATGTAAAATTTCATTTTTTTTAATATTACCACTGAAATCTCTGCCCTTTTCATTCTTTTGGTTTCATGCTTTCGTTCTATATGCATATGCGTTTTGGTTATGATGTATTGACGAAACTATTTCAATTGCCATTGGGTGAAATTGTTTTCCTACTGAAATTTTCTTTCTTTTTCGTTTTTTTACCTCAGAGAAATGGCTTTTCTCTAATATTTTTCAGTAACTTAAGGTTGTTCATGTTTTGCATTGTTTGAAATTTTTGAAATTCTAGGAATTCTCTCTCTTGTTGCTCCCTTAAGGTTGTTCATTGTCATTGAATCTCGCAGCTGCCTAATATTTTGTTTGTTTTCTTGTTTGAATTTTGTTGTCTGCGTGAGATCCTGTTCTAACTATCAACGTCATAGCATTTTTTATGCTCATGGTAAGATTAACTAACTTTGATCTGGGCTGCAGGATTGCTATTTCAATTTTAAAGAGCTCGTTGAGAAGTGGCCATCCTTGTGGCCTCAATTATCTAGGTTATTATCTTTCATGGCCAAATTACATGCTTCTGATTGGAAAATGATTACCTTTATACATTGAATTTTCATTATCAGTTTTTTTTTTTTTACATATAATTGATTGTTGAATGACCTGTCTGAGGTACCTATGTCTTTATAGCTTGTTATTATCTACATTTCCTGTTCTTTTCTTGGCATGATCCTTTGCAGTTTCAGCATGTGTTTCTTTTTCCTTTTTGCTTTGAACGTGGTATTTTTTACTGTTTATTTTGTAGGTTGAATGCTCTGTTTATGCTGAATTGTGTTTTTACAATTTTCAGATTCATCTCCTCCTGAACAGTCTCTTGAAGCTGGTGGATTTTGCACTACTAGATACCCTACTAACTTGGACCTTGAGAGTTTGAAGGTATGGGTTATATCATGAGTTTGTTGATCTTTTTCTGCATTTTTGAAAATTTTTATGTTTATATTAATTTTCCTATTCTTGTAGGTGCGTCCTTCAGGGAAGCTGAGTGAAGATACTAGAGAATTTTCATGGTTAGGTACTCCCTGGACTAGCCGAAGAAGACGCAAGCATTATTTGTCCTTCAGTCGGAATGGTGTTGAAATTTCAGTGAGTGCAATTGTTTTAATTCTCAGTTTCCTGTTTAAGGTTAGGTTTTTGTTAATATGATCTTTATATGTTTGTGTGCTCATCTGAGTTATTTCTTGTTTTTTGTCCCTTGTTCTCTTGAAAAAATATTTGCAGGTTAATGACTTTGTATATGTCTTAGCTGAGGAGGATAAACATCTTGTTGCTTATCTTGAAGATATGTATGAGGACTCAAAAGGAAACAAGACGGTTGTGGTACGATGGTTTCACAAAATAGATGAGGTTGGTATTGTTTTGTGTCACAATTTTAATGACAGAGAGATTTTCTTTTCTCTTAGTCTTCAAGATGTCAGCATCGAATGTATAGATGGATTGGCTGCTGTCCTCAGTCCCCAACATTTCAATAAATTTTTGAACCTGGCAATTCATACTCAGCTGGAGCCATTTATGTGTGACAAGCAGTTTGAAAATGATTATATCAAGCCCTTTGACATAACCAAGATTAAGGGTTATTGGAAACAAGATATAGTTAGATATTTGTCTATTCCATGGCCTCTGAATGATAACTTGAGTAATCAGCAACAAGCTGATCACCAGGAAGCAGATGTGAATTCCAATGATGTTGAGATTAGACCTGGGAAGAGGCAT